AAAAGAAAAAAAAAAGAGGGGCGCCGCCCCGCGCTGCAAGACGGCACGCGCTGTTAGACGCACTATGCGAACAGTTTCAATCAGAATTGCTAGTTGCATGTGCTTGCACTTGATCAGATATTGAATGGGGATCGTCATCTTGCAAAGAGTTGAAGGTGGTTGATTGACCTATCACAAAAAGAGATATGTGAGCAATTTATAATTAGATTCTTTCAATGAAACAAAAAACCATAATGTCACCTGATTCTTTTGTTGAATGCATGTGAGTTGGTCCTTCAATCAAAAGTTGTGGGTAACGAGTTTTGAAGTGTGTGTTGTATGTGGTTTTGATGCTGGCTTGAAGGGAATCTGGCGTCTTTTGCAAGTCCAAATCAGTTTCATTGTTGCTGCGCGCCGAGTATACCAAGGGATAAGGGATAAGTGCGCCAATCAGCTGGGACTCGAGTGCATTTGATGAGTTTGAAGGTGTTTTGAAGCACATTGGTCCTTCGTCATCTGAAGCGGGGGTTGCACTTCGGGATACACGGATTGTACCGTACAATCTGGATCTAGTATGTTGATGTTCGGAAATTGTTTGTTGTGATAAAGACTTTGGTGGGGCTGGAGATTTTGCCTCAGTATCTGAAGGGGGAGTAACACTTCTGGACACACGGACTGCACCATACATTCTGGATGTGGTATGTCGACTTTTGCAGATTATCTGTTTGAGGTGTAATGATTGTTGAGAGTTACCCGATGATGAGGACTGATCTGTGGCCATAACAGTATCAAGCCACCTAGACGAATTTGTGGAGCGGAACTTGTTTTGCAATTTTGAAGGAGTCGCAGGTGATTCAGGCTGAACTAAAGTGGTTGTGGAACTTGGAGGGGAGACCAGATTGGGCGAGGGCACAGGAGTGTTGTTGGAATGAAGTACCGCCCTTTTGAGATGTTCGCGCAAAGTTTTTAACTTTCCTAAAGCTGCTTCCTCGCATATGTCATCCCAGCCATCATGCTCGCGTGCGTCCAGAATCCAATCGACAATGCCAAGAACTCCGAATTTTCCACGCCGGAGGTCACCGCGTGCTATTATATCTGCGCCAATTACATTGAGAAATTTGGACTCGATGTTCTGCCACAGTTCGCCTTTGTTGTATTCCGAGGGGCACGGGAACTGACAAGGTTGTGTTATCTCGGAGGCGACGTAGTCGGAAGCTACACCAATGGGGATAGATGAAGGGAGGGGGTCCAATTCACGTATTTCCTGAATTGTTGCAACCCATTCAAGTGCAATCTCTTGTGAGTGTGATTCAGGGGAATCTACTCCTGGCGTTGACGATATTATCAAGTTTTCAGCTTGGTATTTCGGACTAGACGGACAGATTTCGGGTGATGAATCGATTTTTGTCTTCTTGGTCCTGGAGTTGCGCATTGGTGATTGGGCGATATCATCCCATACTACTGGAGTGGGGTAAGGTGATTTTTGAGTGGTTGCAGACAGACGCGCAGAGCGGCGGGGAATGTTGGCGATTACTCGCCCATCCTCTGGAGGTGTCCATTCACGCTTCCCATTCTGATTGGTTGAGTGTTGCAATTTTGGGTCTATTGCTTCACTCCGGGCTGAGTATGAAACTTCCGTCTTGTCAAGATACGAAGATGGGTCCAGGATTGAGTCATGGATGTGCTTGGATGGTAAGAGTTCTTTGTGAATTGCTTTTTGTACAAAGACCAACAGATCAGTATATATATGATGGGTAGAAGAAATTGGAGCACTTAACATACCTGGAACCTCGATGGCAACTACGTTCCAAACCGCTTCTAACGCTGAATGCAAGGGATATGACATGGCCATACTGTGCAACCATACATCAACCACTTCGGCGACTTGACCCAGGTCCTCCAGATAACACTGCATCTTGGCTCGCACATTACGAGGATTAATTGGAGTCAGCATGCTTGTGATATGGCCTTGATGAATGCCTTGAGAAGGTGTTTTGCAATTGCGGTGTGGAAGAGAAGAGCTATAATTGAAGCTATCCGAAAAGGAGCTAAGCAAGAAGCAAGGATTATTGATCGATGTAGATAACTGGGCAAGGAAACTAATGAGCAAGCAAAAGAGATGATTGGGTGATAGGGAGGATTGTGAAAGATACAGCAAAGCAGTGGTAAAATGAGGAAAAGTTTGTTGAGATGGTGGTGGATCCAATTAAAAGTTTGGACCAATGTGGTTTCTTGAGGCAAGGATTCTATGGCCCCGAGTCCATCATAGTCAGCTCTAATTTTGTTCGGGTTGCCTTGGGACTTAGTACAGTTGTCATAATCCATATGTACTCATGAGGAAAAGTTCAGTATTTCCATCAATCGGGTCTCACATTTCTTTGTGGGGCGAGTTTTTCTTTTTGTTACTTTATTTCTATTTCATTTTATTTTAATCTCATATTTTGTATTCCCTCGTGTATGTACATTCTGTTAGTATCGGGAGGAAACGGATTTTTGGATGAAGAGATAATTCTTCATTACCAAAATTTTGTTTCCGTTGGGGGAATCCATTCCCCCATCTCTCCTTGGTACCTGATCATTTGGGTACCGAGTCCGCCCGGTCAATGAGTTCCTAGTTCCTTTTTCATGGAATTACATACGCAGGTGCCGTCGTTCCTTTGGGCACCTGCTACATACACTTACTTAGTCCCCTTAACCCAATACACTCAAATGCATCGCATTTTGAAATTTTATATTGAATCGCTTGTAGTGGTTGCGATTAATAATTTACATCGCATGTACAGCGAGCAATGTAAAGGGTTGAGTCGCACAGATGCTAGTCATGCATTTGAATCTGAGCGATGTTACATCACATAAAGTTACATCACAAAGGATCCATGCAATGTGAAATCACAGCGTAATTGAATCACATGAACCCTTGCGATCCAACCTCGCATGCGATGTTGAATCACTTCCAGGACAACCTACTCAAAATCACATCCTTATTACATCACACAGCACGGATGTGATTGAACATCACAAGTCCCAGTGCTTTGTGCTGGTGCATACCACCATGCCATTTAAAAATGTTCCCGGTGAGGTGTAACCAGTAGTCAAACATCTATCATGACGGTCTTCAGCCCAATCAGAGTCAGAGAACCCGCTGATGGTGGCTGAGCCACCCAGTACTAGACGTAGATCAATGGTGCAGAGGAGATAGTTCAAGACACAAATAGCTGATATCCAGCGTGAATGAGAAGGATCACGCAGGAATTGCAAAAGTCGACTGACTGCAAAGGAGATGTCCGCTCTGGTGCATTGAGCCACCCATAGCAGCGCACCAATGAGACTAGGAAAGTGACCAGGAGACTTTGGTTCATCCACAGTTCTTGGTTTGAGGTCTTTGAAGGCAGAGTCATCAGGAGCGGCAACCTTCAGAGAGTTAAAAGGGAGGAATTTTTGGGCAAGTTCATGAATGTAGTGTGACTGAGAGACAAAGAGCTTCCTGGCAGGTATGTCGCGACTGATGTCAAGCGACAAAAAGTGAGTTAATTCTCTATTTGACAAGATCTCAAACTTTCCTGAGATGGATTGAACTATTTAGTCCACAAACGAGTCTTCGCCAACAATTGCAAGATCATCAACATGAACTGTAACAGCGCCCACGAGTTTACCTTCTAACAGACGGTAGTACAGAGTTGGGTCATATTTGGACTGGATGAGGTTGAAAGTGATCAGAACTTTGTGGAGAGCGGTGTTCCACAACCAAGGTGATTGCTTCAGACCATACAAGGAACATTCCAATTCACATACCCAGTCAGGATGTTGTGAGTCTTTGTATCTGGGAGGCTGAGACATTAGGATTGGCTTGTCAAGACCTGAGTTGAGAAAAGCTAATTTGATGTTGACTTGTCGTCCACGCCACTTTTGTGAGGCAAGAAGCGAGAAAATTAATCTAAGAGTTTCAATACGAGTAGTTGGAGAAAAGACCTCAGAATAATCAACACCCTGAACCTGAGAGTATCCCATTGCCACCAGACGGGCTTTCAGTTTGTCAAGGGAGCCATCAATGTTACATTTGACCTTGAAAACCCACTTTGACTTGATGATGTTCCTCTTAGCAGGACAAGGGATGAGTTTCCACGTTTGCATTCCAATGAGAGTTGAGAACTCAGCATCAGCAGCAGATAGCCATTTCGATTTGTTTGGCGACCAGAGTAACTGCTTCCAAGTACGGGGAGTATCAAGATCAGTGACTTCAGTGGTTACTGCTCCAGCCCAGTTACCAAGCCTGTCTGGCGGCTTTGTGCTACAACCCGACCATCTAGTGGGTTCAGTCGGTGTTTTCACAGGCTTCTTACTGCGAGATTTACCCAAAGTCTTAGGTTGAGTATCAACACGAGGTGACTGGATAGGGTCAGAAGCAGATGGAGGAGCTGGAGCTGGAGGAGGAAGCTGTTGAGGTTGAGGATCTGGCAATGGTGGAGTCTGATCAAAAATGGACTCAGTAGGAGACGGGATGATAATGACACAAGGTGGGTCCGGAGGTGGTAAGCTCATAGGTTCAACAGGAAGTTGAGAAGTCGGAAGGAGAGAGGAAGATGGAGATGATGGAGTGGGAGACTTAGGCTGGAGTGGAGGAGTAGGAGGAGGCGTCCTAATGGGGCGCCTATGAGGTCCATGGATGGAGCTGGAGAGACATCGGTCCCTGAGTGCCCTTTGTTCTCCATCCATGAGAACAGGGAGTGGAGAGGGAGAGGTGAAGTCTAACGGCCAAGGGAGATTGGCTTCAATGATGGGAGGCAACGGTTGAGAGATCTTAGAAGCGTAAGGAAAGTAGTCATGACAAAAGATAACATCCCTGGATTTCACCGTCTTTTTATGACGAAGATCCCATAGGACATATCCATTACCATCAGGCAGATACATGAGTAGGACTGCTAATTGAGCCTTGGGATCAAGCTTTTTCCTGTTTGCTTCAGGCACTTTGAAGTAGGCCTGACACCCAAAATGGTATAAGCTTGTAGGGGGAGGATCCGGAAGGGAGGGTAGCGAGTCCGAGCACTGCCAGCATAGATGCCTTGGGTTGAGAAATCCGAGGCATCATTGGAGGCAAATCCTTGGACAGACCTTGTCCAAGGTTTTTGCCCTGAGAATTTCCTCGGATCAAAACCTCGGGAAGATTCTGTCTGAGGTTGTGCATCCAAGGATACCTCGGATTACAAAATCCGAGGTAAATATGTTGGTGGTTGAGGAGCAGAAACCAGATGGGGTACGGCACGGGATGGAGTTGATGGTATGGGGGAGGTATCTAAGAGCATCTGCCCAAAATGATTTAGGCATAGATGCACTGATGAGTGAACATTGTAGATGATTTCCTATGGTGCGGTTTGATCTTTTGGAATCACCGTTCAATTCAGGGGAGTGTGGAGGACCAGCGGAGTGAGCAATGCCTTGTTCTTGCATAAAAGTTTCCATTGCAGCATTAAGATATTCACCACCGTTATCAGTGTGTAGCTTCTTAACTTTAAACAAGGTGAGATTAAAGAATATTCAGCAAAAAAGATTTGAAAAAGATAACAACTTCAGATTTCAGCTTGAGAGGGAATATAGTCGTATATTTGGAGCAATCATCAATGAAAGTGACAAAGTATTTGAATCCTTCTCAGGAAACTGTCTCAAAGCTAGCTACATCAGAGTGAATCAAGTCACCAGGTCCAGAAGAGCAATAAGGACTTCAAGAATGGAAAGACATGCAAGACATTTTCCCTTCAACACAAGTGGTACACTGTTGCACATCAATAGCATTCATGATAGATAGGGAAATGTTGTGTGACTTGAGAATTGCTTTCAAAGGGCAAACACCCATATGAACTAACCGGATATTCCAATCAAAGAGACTAATGTCAGCTTTGCTTGTAAAGCATGAGACAGAAGATGAGGAATCCACCTTCTCTGGAAGATAATATAAGTTACCACGTCGAGCACCAGTGCGGACCGGCTTGGACGTCAGGATGTTGTTGCCATCATAGAAGACTTTGCAGCTTTCTTTGGTGAAAACCACAGTGAGTCCATCGTCACACAGAGAGGAAACAGAGAGGAGTGGTTCTTGCAGAGCCGGGACAAGAAGAGAAGAGTGAGCCACTACTCCAGATAAATTGGGAAAAAAGATGACATTTGTGACAACTGGTCCTTTGCTTCAATCTCATTCTCTACAAATGAAAGTTTCCAATCGAAGTATTTTCTTGTGGTTTAGTTTTGAAATTAATCAATATTCCTTTGGTTCAATTCACTGATTCATGATCAGCTTCTATTCTGTCATTACCAACTTGTGATCTTAAATTATCTTGTATTGATTATGTTGTATCAAGTTACAGACTCAGGGAATTCTTTGAGAACTAAGATAGTTTGTCCTCTGCTCCCATGTGTCCAAATTTGACATGATCCTCAGCCATGATTTAAAATTATTTGTTTGGTCAACAACAGGAGGCATTGCAACTTGTTCCTTGCAGTGGCTTGCAACTGATGCAATGTCAACTTGAGCATAATTAAGTCAGTTTTAAGTTGTGAACTCTTATAGCTTGGGTTGACAGAGAGCACTACATAAACCACCAACCCCCATCTCAACTCAACAGTCCTTACTGTGATACCAACAGATAAGAGCCTTGGTGGGATTTCAATGGGCTTCCGCATATGATCATGCAATAAATAAACCCACAAGTCATAAAGAACAATAAAGGTGAATGGTGTTAAAGGCTTCAATGTACGCTGTGCAGTTAAGGTCAAGGCTTAGGATTCAAGAAATTATTTAGGAGAAATGTGTAGGGGGAATTCTAAAATTTTGCTGTCTATTGGGATATAGGATTAATTATTACCAGATCCCACTTTTTGACAAGACTATCTCTTGTCCTTAGATCTGAATGATTTCTATTCTCCCCATTTTTAGATGTGAAGTGTTGTGTTTGACCCATGTATTGATTTAGAGAGGTTCACCATAACCCATAGAACTGCTTCACTTCACTTTTGATTTCGATTTTCGACTTTCTTCATCCAAGCTTTAAACTACGACAACATCAAAAACAAAATCCAAACGAAAAGAAACAGTCAAAACCCAGCAACAGATAAACAAAACTCAATTGAGATGTTAAAAAACTTGGTCAATCAAAGACAATCTATCAAAAAGATCAAGATCAATCAATCGAGGCAAACCACGATCAATCTTATCAATCATCATAGTACTTCATTCTCAACCAGTTCGACTTCATTTCAACCCACAACATTAATCTTCACTCAATCTAAACTACGCTCCCTATCTCCAAGACTCGTCAATCCCTTATCCTCACTCTTCAATTGTAAGTTTAAATATCTGAAATCAACACATCCACAAACCAAAAACCAAGCCAAAAACGCACCAATCGCACTCTACTTATCGAATACGAATACTCATGATTGTTTCATTTTCTTTCAATCGATTTCCAAAAAAAACCCTTAGCAAGATCGATTTTCATCCAAACCGAAACCACTCCCAATCCAGATGCATTAAAGTTTATACCAGGAGTCCCCGTGATGGGAAAGAGCAATGGAACTCTAGAATTCTTATCCAACTCAAACCCAAACTCATCACCCTTAGCCAAATCATTATTCAAGATCCCAGGTATCAAATCTTTATTCTTTGGTCCAGATTTTATAAGTATCAATAAAGACGAAGAAACGAATTGGTCGATCATCAAACCTGAAATTTATTCTTTAATGATGGAATTCTTTAGTTCAGGTCAACCTATCTTAACTGATGAATCAGAGGGTAATCAAGGTCCTGAAGATACTAGAGTACTGGAATCGGATTCTGAGGTGATTGCTATGATCAAAGAATTATTAGATACCAGAGTTAGACCTTCTATCCAAGAAGATGGTGGCGATTTAGAGTATAAAGGGTTTGATGAAGAAACTGGTGTGGTGACTCTTATGTTAAAAGGTAGTTGTAGAGGTTGTGATAGTAGTACGGTAACACTCAAGAGTGGTATCGAAAGGATGTTGATGCATTATATTCCAGTGGGTTTTTTTGCTTTTAGTTTCTTTGTGAAAATCACGTTGGAAATCTTCAAACTGATTCATCGTTTTGCATTCTTTTTTTTGTTTAGGAGGTTCAAGCCGTAGAACAAGTCTTGAGTGAAGAAGAAAAAGTAGCCAATGATGAATGTAAGTAATCATATTTGATTTTTTTGTCTTGACACAATTTTTTACTCACTTCTTTTGATTTATCTTTGATACTATAGTTTCCAAATTCGAAGAAAGATTAAGATCAGGTGGAAAAACAGTCTCGATTTGAATCAAAACCACATCTTGATCCTTGCACATTCATGAAATCATTTCCCTCATCCATCTTAACTACACATAAATCACAAATCTACTTTCCTATCAAACTATTTCACCTCATTCAAAGTTTTGTATAATGCTTTTGTTTGTTTGTTTCACAATCATCATCTTCAATGGAACTGATTTCGTTCAAAATTTTTTGAGTAACTTGTAAAGTGCATCAAGTCTATTGTGAATCAATCCTACATTTGTATTCAGTGCTTTGGAAAGATTGCATTCATCATCAATTCTCAGAAGACGGTCGTACCTCCAACAATGACCACAGTAAGATATCACCAGACCGAGAGCTCTACTCACGCGTGAACAGCACTGTGATTTGTGCGTTTATGGAAAATGGATGATGGTCTTATCAAGCTAGAGAATCATTTCGTGGTGTATAATGCGGTGAGAACGAGGCGTGCAATGATGAGAGGTTTCACCCTTTATATTTCAAAACTAAGAAAGCAACAAAACTCGAAAAACCCGTAAGCAGTCTGGTTTCTATTCAGTCCTCCAACACTCATTCTGACTTGACTGAATCTCTCCCTCGGAACCGATGAAAGAGAGTTTAAAGGTCCTTCGCTCAAAACCATCACTACGTACAGTCAAATCGGAAAAGCTTGACCGATTTTGCCCGCAAAACTCGAGCAATTTGGCGGGGAATTTGTGACAAGCTTTTCTGGTTTGACTGTATTTATCACAGATAGGTTGGAAATCGAACCTGTGCTTTCTTGTTCACGTTTGGTTTGTCGTTCTTGATACGGATGTGGTAGTTTGAATAGATCAACTTAAGAAAGTGTGAAACGTTTGAAACAAATTGATAAAAACAATCAAAGGTAAAAGGATTAAAGAAGAAAGGAAAGTTGGAACCCAAACCCAACATTATAAACCAAGCCGAACGAATCAAAAAGAACTCAACAAGTCAAACCATCAAAAGGGTACTTAATTATGTGCATTCAATCAATCAAAAAACCGTTTCGATACTTATTAGAATGAAAATTGAATAAAATCATCAACAATGAAATGATAAATTCAAGAAAAAAAAGAAACAGAAGTAAAAGAAATAAAACCGATTCAAAATCACAAAACCAATCCGATTCCAATTCCAAAACAAAAAAACCACATGAAACAAATCAATCAATCAATCAAAATCACAATAAAGAAAACAAAATAGATAAAGTGAAAAATAAAAAGAAACCTGATATAAAAAGTAAAAAAAAAACGATGGAAAACAAAAAACAAAAAAACATAAAATGTAGAATCGAAGTGAATCAGATCACATCACAAGACAACAACCAGCACCAGCAGCTTGTGGAGCATAAGGATCTTCTCCTTTACCTAATGGACCCCAAACAGAAGGCACCAAATAATCTCTAGTAGTTTTACAAAACCTAATCAAACTAAACCGCCCCACCAAAAAAAAAGAAAACCCAGTGAGCGATTGTTTGAAAGAAAGAGAGAGAAAAATGAAACGAATTTACTTTGAACTAGCTTCAGAGACTCTGATCCTAGGTCGATCTAAATCTTCTCTTAACCTTTGATTATGTTCAGTTAACCTTCTTAATTTCAATTCTGACATCGATTGTCTAGAAAAAAGAAAAGAAAAAAGAAAAAAAATCGAGAAAGAAAAAGAAAAGAGTTAGTTTTTGATCGATTGAAGATTTGAGTTTGTCTTTTGAGAAGAATCGATTTACTTTTGTGGTCGTGATAACATGATGAAAAGTTATGAAGAAGATAAAAAAAGTTAATAAGAGATACGCGTTCTAATAAGTTTGATTGTTCTTGTTGTTTGTTTGTAGGTTGATGATGATGATGGTTCGTTTGATGATTCGTTTGAAAAAGTGTTGATTTGAAAGATTTAATTTCGTTTGGAGTTTAGAAAACTATTAAGCCAAAAAAAACAAAAACTAAATTAACTTAAATACTTCATTATGTACAGTTAACTTAAATCAATTGTACATAATTAAATTCAAATCAATAGTTTACATACCAAACAGTCAAAAACTGAATTTTGAATTCATTCATTTTTGACTCCAATTCATTTCAAACTCAACCAATCAAACAAACAAAGAAACACTAAAATTTCAAATTCATACAAACTCACTTCAATTTTCAACTGATTTGTTTTACAAGCTAACTTTCAGTGGAAAGGAAATGTATTGTACAACTACAACATCTTTTTGAAATGCTGTTCTGTTTTCTATGTAACTCCTGCTCAACCAATTATTGGTTGAACGCTTTGTAAAGCAAGGTTTAGAAACCGTTTTCAAAAACCGTTTGCATGAAAAAAACCAATCACAAGAAAAACTCTAATTTTTCATTATCATCTGTTCTTATGATCCCTTTCCGATTTTCCAATCTTCATTTTCATCTGCAAAGAAAAAACCAACACATACACACAAAAGAGGTTTTTATAAATTATTATTATGATTTCTAAGTTCGAAACCAAAACAAAAAAACCCAAATCCTTCATTCATCTTACAATTCTTTTTTTACTAATCACCTTGCAATCTAATATGTATCTATAAATCTTTTTATATTTCTTTAAAAAATCAAAAAATCAAAAAAAAAGGTAAATTAAATCAAGAAAACTCCAAAAAAAAAATTGAACCCAAAAAAAAAAAGAAAAATAAGAAAAGAGTGATGAAATTACAAGTTCAAGTTAAATTTGACCAAGGTAATGGTCCAGGATACCAATCAATTCCATTCGCAGGGCACCATTCCAAAAGCCCTACAAAAACCCAAAACCATCAATTATCAATCAAGAAGAACCCGTCTCTTTAGCTCAAAAAAGAAACCGAAACCAAGTGAAGATCCAACCAACCTGTCAATTCGTAATTACTAATCAAATAAGAATGAAACCTTCTAAAGGGATTTCTAGAAATCCTTTTAGACATCAATTTACCCAAACAACCATATCTATCAAACCCAAAGGATTGAAAGACTTCCTTTTCACCTAAATATCTTGATTCTAATTGATTTGAATCATCTTGAATGGAAACATACTCAAATTTTTCGGATGGCCATCTTAGGGCTTCTCGATGGATTTCTTGAAACCTTTTGGATTTGAAGGAATGACCTATTACGGTGATATGGTGGGGATAATGTCCTGTAAACCTATTGTTTTGTTTTAGAAACCAAAGTGAATGGTTTTTTTTGAGAATTAGTTGGATTGTTTTTGGAATGTGTTTATGTGAATCAAAACTTAACTCTTTGAATCTTGCAACAGAGAAAACCAAGTTTGTCCAAGAATCCAACGCGAATTCTTCAGTAGTGACCCGATCGGTTAAAAACTCATGAATTCTAAACCTTTGATGACGATCAAGTTGACGTTCTTCCAAAAGTTGATCATAAATAACTTGATACAAGTTTAACGAGTTAGCAACATTTGAATAAGAAGTTGATTCGCTCAAGCTCGAATTAGATTTCAACCTAGTTTGACCACCTGAATAAATCAACAAAGCATCTTTTCTAATCAAACTTAATTTGATACCTTCTTTAATATGGTTTATGAAGGTTATGATGGATGAATTTGATTGGTATGGTTCTAGTAACCAATCTTCTGGTGATAAAGGATTCTTTCCAATAAAGATCGCATGACCTGGAACGATGATTAATTGTTTGAGATGGGTTCTGGGTTGGCTTAGAGTGTTTTGGATCGATGTGAATTTTAAACTTGATGAGATATCGAGGCTTGAAAAGTTTTTGGTTTGATGATGATGATGATCAATTAGATTAAAGTATAGAGAGATGATTAAGGTTATCGTTAAGATGATGACAGCTAAGTTTGTGATTCTAGATCTAGAGAATAATAATGATTTAAGATTGATGAGGATTGATTGAGATGTTGTTGTGGTTGAATGATGATGATGATGATGATGATATGCTAATGGTAGGATTGAATCAGGTTCAGTTGATAAGTTTAGTTGGAATCTAGAATGAACTGAATTCGATTTAGAATGTGATGGTGATGGTAAATGTGAATGTGAATGTGATTGGATTGGTAAGTTGGTCGATTTGGATGTTTTCTTCATTTCTCTCTCTCTCTCTCTCTCTCTCCAATCCAAAGTCAATCTTCTTCTTGCTCTGATCAAATTCGATCGATCAAAATTTAAACTGCAACTGTTTCAGGGTAGTTTTACATATACACTTTCTCAAATCTCACTTGTAATCCCATACACCATACTTTCTCGAGTCTCACTCTCACCAGAACAAGCAGGGGTGCAAGAAGTGCCACTCACACCCTTGAAGTTGAATCTTGCTTCTCATATGGAACAAGACTTCATCTTCCACCCCGCCTCCCAAAACTTCAATGAATGATTCAATCAAATCTAAATATAATAGATTCTAAAACCTAACCCAAGAGTCTAAATGACAAGCTTTTCAAACAACTGATCTAGAGATAATTCAAGTATCAAGTAAGTAACAAGAGTCTACAAGAGAGAGCATGTTCAAGATATGTAGATCAAGACCTTCCAGATCCATCTCTTTAAACTTCCCAATGTTCACCAATCTAATCAATCAGCAAGTGAATCCCTTTGAATACTTTTTCAGACCTATAGACACAGAGAGATTAGAAAATTGTATAAAGACAATTAGAAGTCATACTCGAGTGTCCTTGTTGAAGAGCCCCTCCATAATGTCCTTGGTCAGCATTCTCTAAGATAAAGATTGGTATCATGAAAAGATGTCAATGGATTATTATATTCCATATGTTATCTTTTTCTTAAAGGATAAGTCAATGATTAAAAGGTGAATAAGATACATCTCAGATGGTGAGGTTTGATTCTTGTTTTGTTGAGCAGGTCAATGCCGTCTGTGTTGTCAAAAAAGGTCTCTACAAAAGATATCTAAGCACAATTTTCACAAAAAGACAAATAAAGGCATCAGAGCTTTGGTGTAAGTCAAAGCTTGAAGTTGACAACTTCTTGAGACTGAGAGGGCAGTAAGTAGAGAGGAAACCAAAGGAAAATGTTAAAGCAGATAGCACGGCAAGTATTTTAGATGTTTTTTGAAAGGATATCTAAAGAGTGAGTTTTCTTGTGAAATTATATTGTCAAGCTTAAAATGATCCTGAGCTCATGATTTGGAAAGAGTTACTCATACAAACAGAATCTGATATAAGACAGAAATTCTCAAAAACACTTGAACCTAGCAGACTATCACATACTATCACTGCATGAGTACTATGAATTCATTCATCTACCACGTGTGATATTCAAATCAACCCTAACAACTTTGTCTTTGCTTTTGACTTGTCAACAAATTTGACTTGTTTTTTGATCTGTGCATTATTCATAGGCTCAGTACTTGGCAAGGATTGTCTGCTTCGGGGTAAAGATCAAATGACTGCAAGTCCAGGAATGATCAACGACAAACCTGTTTTCATGTCAAGTTGAGTAAATCCACTGGCAATATAATTACACAGCTCGTTTGACTATCGTTTCCCCAAACTTCAAACAAAGCTTCAGAGGTGGGTGCGTCGCACTTTGGCACAGTGGTACAAGACAATTTGTTTGAGATAAAACTGTCGCACCGGTGCGCCAGAGATTTGAAAACACACACCCACAGCTGAAGCTCCTTCATATGTTTTTTAAAAAATCATCATGCTCTCCACTTCTATTGATTTCTTTAAAACAAAACAAAGACATTATTCATCAAGAAAATATTGAACAACGAAAAAGAAAAAAATTAAAGAATTAGTATTACAAGTTGAGAATGAAAACAAGGCGGGAAAAGATGATCAAATTTGAAGGACTCAAATCATTGAAAGTCATCAATAAATATATCTAAAACCTAGAAAAGAAAAAGAGCAAAAACATTAAGTTGAGGAAGATGATTGGTCAAGTTCATATGGAAGAAGAAACATACCAGGACTAAGATCATGTTTGCCATCTAAATTTTCAAAAACAAGGTCTCTCCTTTTATTTTCATAAATATAATAAGATCTCATCAAGATTGAGATCATCATTGCTAATAAATTAAAGAAAATGTTAACTTTGAAACCTAATTTCCAATTCGAATTTGAAAATAAAAAGGATGATAGTATTGCAAGTAATTGTCCACTTGAAAATCAAACAATCAAAATTCATCAGCTTTTCTTCTTCTTCTAATTGTTTTACGGGCTTAAACTTACATTGAATTTAACATTCCAAGACTTATTGCTCTTTGACTTTCAGATCCAGTATTATTACTAACCCAACCAATAATCAAAGGAATAGCAGCATACTACCAGCACCAAAAAAACGAAACTTTAAATCAATAAACCCAAATCTAAATTGGAAAAAAGTTCACAAGAAAATACTAACCCCACCAATAACGATCAAAAAAGTAGCAAAATATCTAAAGTGATCATACCCATTAACCAAGAGTAAAATCATCCAACCAATTGAAGAAACCAAAAAAACTCCAGCGATTGGAATCGCACGAGTATTATAACGAGATGAACCGATTGAAATCAAAGTCATCACCAAAAATGCAACAAAGTAAGGTGGTACACTGTATAATTGCGCAATTGGACCTTCATGTCCCATTCTACAAAAAAATACATCGAATTGATCATCAATGAAATTTCTAGTCAAGATTTATTGAAGATCACTTACGAAGATATTATTGAAGGTAAGAAACCACTAACGCTTCCTAAGGTTAAATTCATACAACTATAAAGAACCTAAAATCAAAGAAACAAGATGAGTGTGACCATCAAATACTCATACAAGTTTATGAAAAAAGACGTACTGCAATAGCATAAGATTTCCAATCAGTAAAAGCTCTTTTGACACCAGACCAATCAACTCCTTCAGTCCCAGCCTATAGAAAAATTTAACAAGTCAAAAACCTTTGCAAAACAAAACTACATTCAAAGTGTAATGATTATTGTCATACTTACTTCATAAACTCCGTCTTCTTTAAGCCGTTTTAAGACAATCGCTTTTTCAGAAGTTTTAAGAAATCGAGTTCCATCTGGTCTAGAAGGTAACCAAAAAATAATTGCCAAAGCAATTAATATACTAGGAATACCTTCAATTAAAAACCTATCATTGCAAAAAAAAATCAAAAAATCAAAACTTAGTCAAAAGAAAATTCCAACAAAAACTTGGTTCCTTTCTCAAAGAGATTTTTTTCTTGAAATTCTTACAATAATCTCCAAGTATTTGAACCTAATAAAGAAATCCCATATGCAATTAATCCTCCAAACCCTCCAGCTGAAACTCCTGCACCAATAAATAATGCAAGTCTTGGACCGACTTCTTGTTTTTTATACCACATACTATAATATAATGCAACACTTTGACCAAATAATGCTTCACCCTATTTCGAAATCCAAAAAAAAAACGATCAAACCAACTTTAATTTCCAAACAAATTAAAACTAAGTCAAAGGATATTATAATTTGAACAAAAAAGAAGGAAATGGGGATTGGTTTGTTACTTACTACACCGATTAGAAGTCTCAAGAAAATTAGTTGATGATAAGTATTGCATAATGATATTAGAGTGGTTGAAGTTGACCAAATTATTGCTCCTATTGAGATTGCATTACTTGGAGAAATCGCTTTGGCTAATAAAGTACCTGGAATTGAAAGTAAAATATAAGTTACAAAGAAACTGAGAAATATGGAAGAAAGAAAAAGAAGTGATGAGGTTTGAAATTCGAATAAGAATTCGGATAGATTATTGAAAATTGAATCATATTCAAATCAGAGTCAAAATGAGGATACAAATCAGAATTAGGATTCCAATCAAAATGGATATATAGAATTATGATAGATTAATGTTGATAGACTGACGAAGAAAGAACTTTTGAAAATCTTTCATCACTATTATTTAATAATTCAGATTGTAAACCTTGAAGTCTAGCATTTCCAAGATTTCCTAATGAATCGTGAAAGAAAAATTCCCAGGTATATAAGAAGTGTTATCAAAATTGTTTTGTAATCCGTTTTTCTTTTTGAATTTTTTTCAAACTGACCTCGATCAAGGTAAGCAGAAAGCTAATCATAGAAGTTTTTGAAAAAGAATTAGTGTTCAACTCAGATTGTTTTGTATTTATAAAAAAAGGAGTTCAGTTTTGATTACTATACTCACATATAATAGCGCGGTTAAAGGTAAAATTCTAAAATCTAGTTTAAGTATCACTTTTGTCTCTTCTTCTTGAGTTACATTATCTTGAGGATTATATGTTGAAGGATTTCTGCTAATTAAATTAGTACGTTCGTTATCATGATCATTTGTAGTTGATTTAATACGTTTGTGTACCATCTTTTTTCTAATGGATTTGGGTTCTTTGAAGTTGATTACCTTCAAAGAATGATAAGTCGTCTTGGAGTAGTTCTTCAATCGGGTTTTCTTGAGAAGTTGACGTATGAAAATAGAAGCTTGAATTCGGATTCCAGAGAGAACGACTTGCTTTCGTGAATCCAAGAATTGACAAATCAATCCGAACCCAAAGTTGATGATGATGATGAGTTTACCTAAAAGAGTTTCAAATTAATATTTCAATCGATCATGAACTCATCCTCATTCGTTGTCTTTTGACATAGAAGTAGTTAGTCTAGCTTCATTCGTCAACACCGGATCGATGATTAAAACCATCTTTTTTTCCATCGTTTGGTAGTTGTTATCGTAATCGCGATGAAATAAAACTAAATCTAATCGAGTGGCGCGGTCTGAAGCCAATGCCATCAGTTGAAAGGTAAACAGGATTGAATTGGGTTTAGCCATTTATCAACAATCAACATATTGTATCAACCTCGTTGACGCATGGGGACCCCAATCTCATCCGCAAGGAATGACAGCCAATGAGTTCTGAACTTGTAGGTCAGTTGGGGTGAGACCGGCTCATGCTAAGTGAAGGGATTGCGAGCTTTGGAGAAAAGGTTGAGAGAGAGAGAAAGAAGATAACGATCAAAGAAGGAAACTTTCAACTTTCAAATCACAGAGATGACAATTAGCTGATCATGTAAACTCAACAAACATATGCATCATCAACATCCTCTTCAACTTCCGTAAACTCATTTACTAGATTAAAGGGGAATGAAAATCAAGTAGACTGCAAACATCAAACAACTTCCCTTCAATTGAGCAGGGGAACATGATTGGAGGTATAATTGGATAAGGGATTGATCACTCCACATCTGAGCTATAGCACTCAGGTGGTGGGCGCGCCCAGGTGCAGAAACCGGTGTCTGGGACGCGCCCAAATAGCAGGGGGGGGTGTGGGCGCGCCTTTGAAGCAAAGTAACATTAAAAACATGAAACATGAAAAAATCTTCTCAGAAACAGCAATCAAGTCTGCAATGAAGCTGAAACCCAAATGGGGATGTGAGAAAAGTTGTTTCAAGTCAGGATGACCACGCTTCCAAGATAACAATCACAGAGTTTTTTTGTTTGAGAACTCTTTTGAGGGTCTTGTGACTCAGATGAGCAAGTGTTGGCAGAAACATTCCAAGTGGGGCTCATCTGTAGGGCTCTCTCCGGCTTGAAAGTTAAACAGAACAAAATTACAATGTAATAGGCTTCCTCTAACCCAAGATTAGGCCCAAGAAGACCTTCTACGCTTCAGGTCAATCAAGTCTTGCGTATGCGCACACCACCCCCTGTTTTTATAGATATTTGGTGCGCAGTTTGACGTGCCAAACGCACCACACCCACCACCTGACATAGCACCCACACTACATGTGTGCAGCAGGATGGGCAAATTGGGAGCTATCATTTTTTTATTGCTTAAAGCATTTTTGGAGCCACTAGGCTATCAAACGCTATGTAATATGTCCAGCACCGGTAAAACCCCTCTGGCTGTTTCAGGGGAAAGGTAGCTGTTGGCTGTTTCATCTAGGTTATATGTTGGGTAATAAGAGACAGAAATTTTTTGTCAAAGAAGTAGGTGGTGGGAAAAGGGCTTATTCCTGTGGAAAAAATTGATTTGATGGGTGAGGCTCATCTGTGGCTTTGGCCCATATCCAACAATTTGCAAATCTCCATGTGGAGTTGCAAAGAATGGTGATGAGTTTGAAACTGGTGTGGGTGAATGGATTCTTTTGACCACTTTTTTCATATGTTCTTGAGGTTGTAAACCAGTTTGTTATGATAATACTGTCCATGTCACAGCCCAGAAAGCTCCCTAGGTGGTAAGAGGACACACAAAAGTCACACTGTCCTGACCCTGACGGCAATGTGATCAAGAGAAAGAGAAGTTCTGGGGAGGAGTGGAAGAATAAATTCCAAACTACCTTCACTGGGGGAATGAGTTCTCCCTGACACTTCTCCCATGTGTGCCTAGGACGGCGACATCATCCAGGGCTTGACCTGACTGACCAGCTTATGTGATCACATTTTGGTCAGGGTCAGGACAGTGTGACTTTTGTGTGTTCTCTAGACACCTAGGGGGCTTTCCGGGCTGTGACATGGACAGGATTAATTCCTAGTCCCATTGTCACTAATCTGCAATAAAAAGGAAATGTTTGACTGTCTCTATGCCTCGTTGGCAATCACAGAACAGGTCAATAGGCTGTTTGAAACAGTTGAGATATGAGTTAAGTGGTACATGGCCTGATCTTAGTTGTGTTATGGTGGCTGGCGGTATCATGCTTGTGCAGATTAATCCATCAAGGTGTTTCTTGGGTTGGGGTTTGTGTCCTAATTGTTTGAGTTCTTTGTTGTCAAACTGTTCTGTTTGTTGGGTTTTCCACTCCTTCATAAGGAGCTATCATGTACATACAGAGGTGCTCAGCTATTGGTTCATCTGAATGAGTAAATCATATGCAATAGTTTCTCAAACTGGAAAAAGTTATGTGGCAAGTATATGACACTGCATGTGGAGCACCACATACTTTCAGATTTTGCTTTTGATAGGCAATATCACTTAAACTGACATTTTCTGTAAGTTGTTATGCTATTTCCCATGTCAAAAATGAAATTTGGAAAGTATGTGGCACCACAGACTTACTTTGAGTACCCTTGATGTATGAAATGTGATTTACTTATTCAGATGAGCAGGGAGCTGAGCAGACCTGTATGTGCATGATAGCTAACAATCTTGGCTTGTTGAACATATGTAATGTGGGGTTTGTGGCTCAGGTCTGCAGTGACATGGAAGATGAATGAAGAGGGATTGACTGACCTTTGTCATTGCACACCTTGACCAAGTCTACACTTTCTCAAACTCAAACTTTCCTGCTTCTTTCTTTGGGACATTGGCAACTGAGTACGCCTTGGGACCGGGTCAGCCAGAGGTTTGATTATTTGACTATGTACACTTGATCGGATTGAAAACTTCAATGGATCTTGTTTGAGTTGGAATTTTCAATCTTCACAAGAAATTGATTGTTGGTTCCTGAAGAACATAGAATATTGAGTCAATGTCTTGGAACATCCAAGCACCAATTGAGGTATTGATAAGTGAGGTTTGTGATAATATAAAGACAAATTTGATTCAATCATGTGAGAATTAGACTACTTGGAAAGCTCTCCACTTGATAATGATCAAGAAAGATTGAGTCATGATTGGGCAGTGAAAATCTGTATTCTTGACTTGTCAAAAGATTCTGAATCAATGGTTATATTGAGACAATTCAAATGGATTAATTGGAAGTGAACATATGAATCTTGAAAGTTGTCAATTGGCAAAAGAGATTGCTTTCTCAGATTTTATTTGATAGTCAAAGTGAATCAAACTGATTGGTTTGAGAAAGATTATTGTATATCAGTGATCAATATTGCAAGGAAACATTTGTTCCAATAATGTAAATACATTTTATGATTGAACCATTCAAGTTGAATGATTTGAAAGATATCTGAGGGGAACTGTAGTGAGAAGCTTGAATTGTGGACACTCAAAACATTCTGAGTTTTGAGCAAGATTGAATGTAATTCACTATTGGAACCAATTTCACGTTCAAAATCTTGTGTGGATAATCCACGATGAGATGGCAAGAGCAAATGTATGTATATCTCATTTCTGCAATTGCATTTGTGGATGCAGATTGATTCAGGCACAATGGTTTCTTCTCATGTGCAAAACCCAAAAATGCGCTAATAGTGTATTTTTTGAGTTTTGTAAGCCAACTGTCTTTGTGGTTAAATGTCATGATGTTATGATTTCATCTGTTTTATAGACTTTTTAGTACTGTAAATATATTTACTATGAGCACTGTTTCATCAAACTCCTAAACACTGTTCCACAAATTTATTTGACAGTTCATGATGCCCAGTCTGTGATGGTTGATTTAAACTGTTAAATCTGTACAACCTTACTTCATCAAACATTTCATCTGTTTTATAGACTGTTTAGTACTGTAAATATATTTACTATGAGACACTGTTTCATCAAAATCCTAAACACTGTTTCACAAATTTATTTGACACAAGAAAGGACATCAAAGATTAAAGAAATTCTGACCACCTCCCTGAATTCCCATCCTTTAATTTGAGAAAGTCTTTTCTGAGTATCCATTAATTCACAATTCCAATAATGTATTTAAAAAGCATCTCAGCATCTTCAACCATAATTTTGTTCTACAGTGTTAGGGCACTCTGCACAAAACCAACATCATCAAATATTAAAGATAGTCTCATGGACAGCAATACATGGTCTGGTTATGATTTCACTCCTGAACCAAATTATCTGGATCAAGCATTACAACATCACACTCAAAATTTTCAAGATGAAAACATACCATACCTCCAAGAGGAAACTTCCCGGTTGAATGGAGCCACAGTTCCAGACAGGTCATCCCAATTTGATCCATACAAGAACAATTTTGAGGACCTGATTCATGGGTTGGGGCTATACAATCCAGCATACAAATTTGGAATTGAGAACACCAAGCAAAGTGATATAGGTACCTCAGAGTCAAGAATATATCAAGTGAATCAGCCGCTGGATACTGAAGGCAAATCAAGATATTCTCACAATCCTACTCCCAATTTCTTCTATGAGCCTCACTCCAGGAACTTTGAACGGTTTAATGAAGAGACTGCACTAGTGCATCCTCAAAGCTTACACCTTGGCCAACCAAGCCAATGTGAAATTCGAATGCAAGAAATTGGGCCACACCCAAATATACTAGACAATATTCAGAATTTTGATTCACTTTCAATTATCAATGATCTTATCCGCATGCCAGAATATCTCAGCTACGGACTGAACCATGACTCATACTCATTCCAAGATGAAAATCTCCACCATTCTAATGCAAAGGACATCTGGTCCAATGAGCGTTTTATCACACAGAAACAACCTCAACGTTCCTGTTACAAGAATCATTCTGAGGATGATCTTGGTAACATGGAAACACTTAAATACAATTCTGGACATGATCACCAGGATACTGAAGTAGGTACTGCAGAGACAAATGCACTGTACCACCTCCAGGATACAAGCACACTTCTTCCTTATCCCAGCCGTGCTTCTAATTGGTTGCATGGACCTTTCCATACATCCCCAGGCTTTCAAACATTTAGCAAAGGAAATGAATTGGCTCTGCATGAACGCCCATACTTTGACAAAGGAAGTTGGGTTGAAAGACAATTGCAAGAAAACCCATCACCACCCAATTCTTTAGACAGTGATCAGGTGTTTGGTCCTTGCCAGATAGGCAGTCTTGGCATGTCACAACCAATTCTTGATCAACATCTGGTGAATATTGATCACAATGATAAGTTCTTTCAAACCCCACTTGAATTTGATGAGGATGTTTTATCCAGATGGACTGAGGAAGATTTACAGAATATGAAAAAGCTCTTGGATCCAAGTCAAAGTGATCATCAGGGTAAAGAGGAAGGGACTGGGCACAAGGACACCAAAATAAGTCAGCCTCTTCATGAAGAGGATTCTGTACACAGTGGTAATGAAGCATCAGGACAGATAGTAGAAGCTCACAATTTGTCCAACACAGTGCAACCATTGAGTGAACTGGGAGGATCAAATATTGGAAAAAAGAGCCTACTTCCAGAGAATGAACTGGATCATATTCAAAAAACTATCAGCACAAATATTTCACCAAGTCCTTCAACCCCAGCAAACATTGATCAACACATTAGAGCAATGTTCCCAAAGAGGAGGAGATTGAATCCCATAGCAAAAGTAACAGATACTCACTATGATCATGCTTCAACCAAAACTTATTTGAATTTCTCACCTACTGAAAATAAACTTCAAGTTTCCATGGAAAAAGAGAACATAAACTCCACGAAGTACAATAAAGTAAGGCAGGTATTACAAACCCTCAAACAGACAGGTTCATTTAATGTTGATAATTCACTCACTCTCTCTTATGAAACATCTCGTTGGTTTCTCGACCTCAAGACTAAAATGATAGCAAACTCTCCCCAGAATCAAGCTTGGATTAAGCAGGTTTCTGTAGCAACAAAGCATGCTTACTCATATATCACAATGGCTTTTCTTGCACTTCTGTCCATCTATGATTCAATTGCTGACAATCCGACCTCAATTGATCAAGTCTTAAAAGATGGTTGGGATTTTGTCAAATTACGATTTGAAAAATGGGAAAATATGAAGTTGGAGAAGAGGCATATCAAAAGGTTCCAGAAAGCAAGGATGTCTTATGGGGGAGGTGATTGGCAGGACCCTCATTTTGTGTTTCAATACCTAGCTAAATTAGACTCAGAAAAAAATATGACATCAGAAATCTTGAAATCCATTGTTGATGAATGGAGAAAGTATAGAAAAGGTTCAGAGATTCCACTTCAATCACCAGGACAGGTACTACAGGATATATTCAATTCATATCAACCTGAGTCAGGATTTATTCTAGGTGGCTTCTTTTCAAGAGGTGATGTGAAAAACCCTCAATTTGAACAGATGAATAACCATTTGACAATAAAATCATACAGCAAGGCCAAAGCCAGAGAAATGGGATGTGTACGTATAGCCAATTCAGCAAACTTCATGTCACAAGAAGGTTTTCCATTATGTCAAGAAGTTCATATATTCTTTCTTTCTTTAATGCAAAGCCTACTAAATAATTACAGAAACATGAATGAATGTGATGTTCCTACAGAAGAGCTAACACCATGGCTACAATCTACAATGCAATCCAATGTTGAAGGGAGGCATAAGTCAAATGTGAAAAAAATTGTCAAAGCTGTCAGTATTGCTGAATACAAGGTGACAGTAGGATTTATAGGGATAGTAAGAGAATTGTACCAAAGCGATCTAGCAGAGGATGAGTTCAGGTTACTCATTTCAAGTGCATGGGGATTCTTGAAAAACACATTTTCAGAGTGGGAGAAGTTCAAATTTGAAGATAAATACCTCCAGATGTACTTTACTCAACTACAGAAACGTCCATATTCAGAACTCTATTGGTCTGATCCCAAGAAGATATTTCATGGACTCTGGCAGATTCCGCTCTATGAAACTTGCCCAATCCCAATCACATTCTTAAGAACCCTCTTCAAATCATGGACCAAGGTGGTCTATGAAACTGAATTCATGAAAGGAGGTATTCCAGGCTTCAGACCTAAGAACATATCCAACAACTACTTTGTATCACAAACAAATAATCTTAATTGAACTCTGTACCAAATCCTCCCATTCTATTTCTCATCCACACCCTCTTTCTGGGTAGAAATCAATCATCTTATTGTATTGTGAAGAATTTTCCTATTTATATATGTTTAGCCCCATTTCAGAGAATCTATGGTCATCAAGGGACATCCAAGATATCACATAAGATACTCTCATACTTTTGAAGACAAGAATGGCTAACTTGCTACTGGCAGTCCCAATTCACTCTCCATGAAGTTTGTGCAGGCACTCAATCTCAGGCTGTAGACTCAAAAGAATAGATTTTGTACTTCTCCATGCAAATTTCTCTCATCTTTACTCCTTCATCACAAGTGTTTCATCAACTGTTTCCCAAACATAAAGAATTGAGTAAAGGATCAACCTTCCTTCACATTTTGAGGTTGTCTTTGATGTGATATACAATATTCACTATATGCTCTCACAGTTGGTGCATGATTTGAACCCTGTAAATGCCTTCAACTATAGACTCAAAGCCTCAAAAGTTGAATTGCCATGAAACTGGATGTGTTGTTTTTTGTATAGTGATACTTAATCCACTATTTTTATTACATTTTAAGAGTTGCAACATGTATGGCTTCACTCCATATGAAAGCAACATCAGGTCAAATAGTGATTCATAACTGACCTCAAGGAGTGACTGGTTTGATCCTTGATGATCTTTATGATTTGTCTACATTTTATCCTTTGGAAAGATGTGGTAGGATTAGTTTCTTTATCACACAAGTGGTGAATAGAGTGAGGATTGTGACAAACTTTACCAAGTCATATAACGGCCAGGTTGCAAGTCTAAGTACTTAATCTAAGATCTGCTTCTTGCGGGGCACTAGTCTGTAGGACACTAATGAAATACTTCAGAGTCACCTTGATGTTGAGGTAGAGCTTGATCTGACCTGACAATCCCACTGCGGCCATGGTTTCAGCTTGGTGAAATAAAAACCACCTTGTTGATCATGGAAACTCTCCAGAGGCTATCAAAACCATAATACATAACCCAAGGTGTCTAATAAGTCCAGATATCTGGTAGTTGGGCTGAAAGTGTGATGATAGAAGCCATGTCATTTCTACAAGCCTCTTGGTCCAAAGACAACACAAGAAGCGCCTCTATGAGAAAACCCCCTCCACTAAAGTTAGGTTTGTATGCAGACTGCTACACTTTCTCTTGATTTATCAAGAGTGAGTGCAGCATGCTTTGGGTGGAACCTAGCGTTTGTGCTTTGGGCCTAGTGTGCTAGACACGGCTTCAAGGACAGACGGATCTCATAGAGATTGGGTAAGAGTCCCATTGAACCAAAAGGTGGGAGGGTTTGAAAAACAGATCTTACCACACAGAAATTGCTCCTAGGAGGCAAAAAGATGGTGAGAATGAGGTGGTGAGAACAAAGAACAGAGACGGGAATAAGCTCCTACTCTCTTTTTAGAGGGTGTGGCTAGTCATTCTGCTTTGAAAGATTATGTGATGATCTGAAAGTATTATGTTGAAAAGAAGAAGATGCTGACCTCAAAAACCAATCAAAAGTTTTCAAAAGATCATCAACTATCTGAATCAGGTAACAAGACCACTTTACCAAAGTAGTTATAAGCCAAAGACATCAAGTTGCAAGGTAAACAGGACTTTTCAAGTGGGTTAAACGAGTTTTGGACTTCAAGTTTCAGCCAAGGTCTCATGATTAAGTCAGATTTGGAGATGTTTGGGATATCGGTGTTCTCGATATGATCACTGAACCTGAATCATTCTTCATGATCATCCTCTTTGACTTTGTCACATATCGATGATATCATATACCTACTTACCGAATTTATGTGGGGAAGTAAAGACTCTGAGCTTATCAAGACAACTTTTAGATCGATTCATCTCATAACTCAGTTCATCTACAAAACCAATCAATCAAGTGAAGCTGACAAATCAAATCTCGATTCTAAAGAACCATTCCATTTTGATCTCGATAGAAATAGCTTATTACTATTTTGGATACCTCGGTCACAAGATCAGTCACAAGATCATCACTTCTTTCTTTTTTTTCCTTCGGGAACGATCTCGGGTCTTATGGATATACGCTTCACGGTTCATCGGTTGAGAATTTCGGTTGCAAAGGATGAGTGATTTTTGACTAAGAAATTAGAATCAAGTCAAGAGAAGAATTGATGTGGTGGTAAGTCAGATGAAAACTTTAAAGTAAATCGGATATAGAATATTGTAAAGTGATCATTTGACCGAGGAGATATCGAATCTTGATCGAGGAGATATCGCATCTTAACCGAGGAGATATCGAATCTCCATGAGTTAAACCAGTCAAAGGCTCAGTCTTAGGTTGATATGGAGTGTAATTCTGATCAGCTGATTCAGAATTTCAAGCTGTGAAGAATTTGATTCTTCAAGGATGAATGAGTTTATAAAATCAAGCAGACCTTCGAACAAACCGATTAGCTAATTCCTTCTTGAAAATATAGTTGATCTTCATTTGTCTTTCAATCCATCAACTCATCTTTTCTCCTATTTCTCACCAGCTCATCCTACATAACTCATCCCTATATAAATCTTGAGATCTTCATCTACATATTCCTGTACCCCACAATATCCCTTACCTTACATACATCCTTGTCTCATCAACCTTGACTTACACACATTTGATTTCGTACTTTGATTGACTTCATTCGAAAATTCTTTCAAGCCTTCTCCACAGCCTCAAAGTTTTCTTCTACAAATTTAACCAAGATTTACTCTTTTTTCGTTTTAACAACAACAAGATATCAAAAAAGGTAGTTATCAACTTAGAAATCTCAAGAAGATACTCGTCTCTTATTTTATTAGTCTATATAAGATACAGGCGAGTAATTACTTGATTCTATTCATACAGTTCTCAACCCCCTTCGATTGTGGTACATAGTCTTTTTAAAGCGAGAGAGAGAGAGAGAGAAATCAAAACGTAAATAAAAGTAACAAACTTAGGCGAAGTGAGCGAAGTGATTGGATCAATCCACTTTTTAACCCCAACGTTTTTAAAATTTCATCTGAATTTGTTTTTACAATTTTACTCCTTACTAAACTTTATAGCTTTGAAGTGAAGAATAGATATATTGAGTCGATTAATTTTTTTTACTTCAACAAGAAAGAAAGATACAACCAGATTCGATTTTTGAATTCGAAAGAAAAAAATCAATCCACATTCAAGAAATCCAAGTTTTATCTCATTCATTTCATTCATTTATTGAAGAAATGGAAAAATTAATCATAGAAGAAAAAAAGATTGATGGGATTAAAACTTTAAATGATGATGAATTTCAACCTTCAAATTATTCTTCACTTGTCGATCCTAGTAATAATCCTACTACCAATCAAACCAATCGAGCAGAAAAAAAATTAATTGCAAAATTAGATAGAATCATTCTTCCTTTTACTGCACTTCTTTATGTATGTGATCCATTTTTTTTCTTATTCTCTTTGGAATTTGGAAAAGGTTTCAAATTCACTGATTTTCTTGGTTTCTTCTTTTTTTTGTGATCGGTGTGGAATTTCAATCTGGTTTCGTGTTTCGAATATGACGGTAAACTGGAATGAATGAAAAAAAACATTCTCCTTTGGATTTGATTTCTAAAGCTTTCTGCTTATTTAGATAGAGGTAACGAGATCTTTCTCTCACATCATATGATCTTAAATAATTTGATTTCTCGTCACTTTTTTTTGCTTTTATTTTGGGGGGGGTTGAATTTAGGTAATTTGGGTAATGCTAAATTACAAGGATTAAAAGCTCAACTTTTAGGAAATAACGATATTAAATTTTCAGTTGTACTTTGCGCGTTAGTAATCTTTTCAAAGTTTTATATTCTCATTGGAGATTTATATCTTGATAATTGATTTTTGGAATCCGATTGATAGGTTTTATATTACCTACATAGTCTTTTCAATTCCTGTAAGGTTTCAGTATCTTTTCTTTCTGAAAAGCTTTTTGTGATCAAGAAAAGCTTATGGATCTTTTTTTTTCTTTCCTTCAGGGAACTCTTTTATCAAGAGCTATTACTCCAAGTACTTCAATGGCATTAGGAGCCATGATTTGGTCAATTGCTGCAAGCGCGATGGCCTCAGCTCAAAATTATCCAAGTTTGGTTGTTTGTAGATTATTCATTGGTTTAGTTTAGTCAATTTCTTCTTCTTATCCCATATTCCAAACCAAAAAAAAAACTGTCATGAAAAAAGAATGAAACTGAGATGATCATTTTTTTTTGCTTTTTGGATTGGAAATTGGAAAACAAGGGTGAAGCATTGTTTGGTCAAACCGTTTCATTTTATTTTAGTTTATGGTATAAGAAAAATGAAGTAAGTAAACGGATTGCAATCTTTATTGGAGCTGGTACTTTAGCTGGTGCATTTGGTGGATTGATTGCATTTGGAGTTTCAAATATTAAATCTTCTTCTATATCAACTTGGAGGATTTTGTAAGTTTTATTTTTTTTTAAAAAAATCGATTCAAGAATTTTCAACCTTTTCTTGTTAACTTTTGGGTTCGCATTTTTTTTTCTTTTGGTTTGGTTTCATAAAAGGTTTCTTATTGAAGGTTTACCTTCGGTTCTTTTGGCTATTGCTCTTTTCTTTTGTTTACCTACTAAACCTGAGAAAACTAAATATCTTAATGAAACTGAAAGAGAATTATTATTGAATCGATTAAAACAAGATGGATTACATGAGGTAAGCCAAAGAAAAACCAACTTTTTTGAAAAAATTATTTTTCTTGGAGGATTTGTTTCTGCTTTGTATAGCTTAAGTCATTAAGTTATTGATTGGTTTTTGTTTCTGAATAGAGTTCTAATAAAATCGATTGGAATGGGGTTAAAAGAGCATTTACTGATTGGAAAACATATGTGATTTCTGTGAGTGATTCTGATGAAACAATCGTCTAGTCTTTGTGATGCTTAGATTTCTCTGACTGAATCAAAATTCCACGACATTCATACATTCTTTCTTAATGATCCAGGTCTTATATAGTTGTATGAATTTAACACTAGGAAGTGTTAGTGGTTTCTTACCTACAATAATTTCATCGTAAGCAAACACTTCATGTTCCTTCTGTTGAAGACCATAATCATAACTAACAAAACAAAAAAAATCGAATCAACAGAATGGGTTATAGTGATGCATCAGCTCAACTACATACTGTACCACCATATGCAGTCGCCTTAGTCTTTATGATCTCTTTATCTACTATTTCTGATAAACTTAGTAGTAGAGGATTACCGATCGTATCGGTCTTTTCGATCTCTTCTATAGGTTGGTTAATCCTTTTATTAGTCGAAACCAATCAACATGTTAGATATTTTGCTACTTTTTGTGTTGTGATTGGTGGTGTAAGTTTTTTTTTTCAACTTTTCTTCACAGAGAGAGAGAGAGAGAAAGGTGAATTGATGGGTTGTGTTTCTTGTTTGGGGGGGTTCGGATAGTATGCGGCTATTCCTTTGATTATTGGTTGGGTTAGTAATAATACGCCTAATCAGAGTCAACGTGCAGTTTCATTAGGAATGTTAAACACAGTGTCAGTTTTTTGGTCAACATTTTTGGAACCCATTCAAAGACTTATTTCTTACGATTATGATTATCTATTAAAACTAAACTGACCTTGATTCTCTTTGGGTTTTTTTCGTTGATCTTTATTAGTGGTCAATGTTTATCAATCCTTGCTGCATTTATCTTTCCTGAATCAGAAAAACCTGGATGGAAAACTGGCTTTGGAACCAACTTGGCATTTAATCTTTTAGCCATCTTAATCAGTTTGTGTATGACAAGTTATTATCGATTAGAGAATCGTAAACGTGATCGACAAAACCTTGGAACAGAGAAATCGATTGAATCTGATTATGATTTATCACCTAGTTTGTCATACTATTTCATCTTCTTTTGATTTGTTTAGTTTGGTTTTGGTTAACTGATTTGATATTTACTTTTTCTTTTGTTTGAATTTTTTTTTGTAGGTTTTAGATATGTACCATAACTTTAAAACCTTTAATGGTTAAACAAAATAATTGCATAATTTCATCATTTGTACATTTTAATCTTTGTTTTCTTTAATCAATCATCAACCATTATCATCATCATGATCTTTTATTTCCTTTGAATGATCAATTCATTCCACCAGAAAGAAAAGAAAAAAAACTTTCAATTCTAATCCAAGAAAGAAAGAAAAAAGTGTGAGGTTTCACAAAATTTAATGAATTGGTTGTATTTTTTGTGAAGGTTTAGGTGGGTTTTTTGTAAGGTGCATAAGTTGAGAGTAAGGGATCCCTAAGAGCATCTCCTATCGTCTCGGTAAACGGCTTCGGTACGGTAAATTTTACCGTACCGAGGGTCAAAACTCCCAATCGTGTCAAAATCATGCATCGGTACCCACAGAATCTGTAGAAATTCTGTAGAGGTCCAGTAAATTTGCTGGACCTCTACCGATTCTGCAGAGGTCGGTATCTGCAAATCTGCTCGACTTCTACCGAGCCGATCCTACAACTCATCCTCAAATCAGTCCCACTCTATCCCACTACACCTGTATCACCATCAAACACCAATTTCATCTTGTAAATTCTCCGTTTTCTGTGATCAATGGTTTTCAAATGGTCATATAGATAACTTGGCTGTTCTCTAATTGATCTTTTTCTAATTGATCTTTTTCTAATCGATCGTTTTTTGATTGACTTTTTTCAATCGTTTGTTTTCAGCTCGTTTGATTTCAGCTCGATTGTTTTCAGCTCGATTGTTTTCAAGTCAATTGTTATGAAGTCAATCATCTTGTTTTCAAAGTGATTGTTCTGAAATCAATTGTCATCAGATCAATTGTCTTTGCAAACTGATTGTGCTCGGATGGATTGTTGCGTGATAGAACATGAGATTTGCAGTTTTTTTTACCGAACATACGATAGTGGCAATGAGGTGTTGTATGTACTTGCGGTACTCAAAGCTACATATGTACGCGTACATAGTTTGCGTACATAGTTTTTTTTGGCGGGGAAAAAAACAAAAGAAGTATATTCGAAGTATTTCGCCCGCCAAAAAAAAACTATGTACGGCAACTATGTACGCGTACATAGTTGCTTTGAGTACCGTAACTGTACTTTGTTTGATATAATGCAACGATAGTGGATTTCCACCGTTCTGTATCAAGTGATACCGTACCGAGTCAGTATGTACAGAAAATTTACAGAAAATTTACTCGAACAATAGGAGATGCTCTAACCCTCCGCAACCGGAAACCAAATTCTACATATTTGTGAGCCACCGGTCCCGGATGAAGGCAGTCTTTGTGCAAACAAATCTTGAAATACAAGGCCTGAACTAGCCCTATATATAGCATGTCCATAGATAGTCACAAGGGTGGTGACAGCTGCTATGGAAGCCCGTCTCAATCTCCCTAACGTGCGGATCGCTCTTTGATGTAGCAAGACGAGGTTACAATTACGTTGTGCCACATATAGAGTCCAGCAATACCGTTGCGTTGCAACTTGAACTTGCCTAAAGTCGACTTCGGAACATCTTGAGGAACGAGGCCGAGGCGAGTTCCAAACCGGTGTAGCAACGGTTGAAGCGCCCCGCTCCGCCCCGCTTTCAGGCGTTTTTTTAGCAGCGGGACGCTGTCCCGCTACATAGGGGAATTGCTCCCGCCCCGCTTTATGTTCAGACCCGCTACATCATTGATGCAGCGGTGCGTGTGCTGGACCCGCTCTCGCCCCGCTACCTTTGTTTTGAAGAAAAGGAAGCGGGATGAGGCGGAAGAGGTATCGAATTTTTTTTAATATGCACAAAGAAATCTATATTGACATAGGAAAATTAAAGTACTCAAAAAACGTTGATAAGGAGTGACTACAAATAATAGGATGAAATCGAGTATAGGAGGACAAGCAACAAAACATAAAAATTTCAAAAACAGTGACAATGAGCGACTTGAAACATTAATAAAGTAAAGAAAAAATAAACAAAACTAAGGAAAAAAACATAAAGTATTCAAAAAGAGTATTAAGGAGCGACTTGAAACATTAGTAAAGGAAAAAAGGAAATAACTGAAGAAACACTTGAGAAGATAGATGAGATAAAACAACAAAAGGTTGACATTATGAGTAAGCTTGCTCAGTTTTGTTTGCAAGGATGAGTTTGAAAGGTGGCAAGATATTTGATAGCTTCTGAGAACTTGTCATCAGTGGTAATGTCATGTCTTAACCATTCTCGACAGCCAACAGCACAAGAGATGGTTTTTGGTTTCAACGAACCACGGGCAGGAACAGCAATATCAGCTGCCGAAGAAAAAACACGTTCCTCGGCGCATGAGGTAGCTGAAATGCTGAGATAGTCACGGGCCATTGACGCAAGGACAGGGTAGTGGCAAGAATTATCCTAAGACAATGAAACATACGGGTCAGTTCTTGATTATTGTGTGTAGGTGATGAGAGAAAAGATAACTCACGTCCCACCAAGACAGCTCGCTTTGGCCCGGGAGGATTGGGTGGTTCCCTTGGAGGTATAGCTCGAGTTCGGCCGAACGGACAGAATCTGACGTTTGTACGGATGCCATTGAAGTGAATACATCAAACTGGTCGAATACTTCCCCAGAAACAGGGGATGGAGTCGGTTCAGGGCTGGAGGCTGGAGTAGCAGGCCAAGCAGCAAGAGTCTTCTGAAAGATTTCTTCAATGCACTCTTTGGCTTGTGCAGCTTCATTGGGGTAGTGTAAGTCGAAAAACTTGAGTCAATACTTAGGATTGAGTATGGTGACCACTATGATCACTTCGGCGGATACAGCTTCATTGCGGTACTTGACCAGTTGGTTTACCATGGTTTCTACCATGGTTGCGAGGCTTGGAAAGATTGTTGTGTCGGATATCTCACTGAGCAGATCGCTCACTCTGAGATACTCGGCCAGAAGCAAGGCGCCAGTTGGCGTATTGCCCTCCATGCGCTTAGTCGAATGACGAAAAACCTAGAAAGCAAACATCAGAACTCTGATCACAAAAAGAACATACCCATTGAGAAATTGAAAATGAAAGAAAGAAGTACTTGTAAGGTTCGATGAGAACCTTCACTGGATACTTCGGACGGGACGCTGTGAGGCACAGCGGTAGGGTTTTCTAGAACCCAAGAGATCTAATCTTTAATTACTAAAGCCTACGAGAAACCAGCTGGTTCCGAAGGATAGAGGGCGGATGATTAGTCCCGATATCTCTCGACTACAATAAGATGATAAAAGATAGAAAGAAATAAAGAATGAAAGAAAACTGTTCTCATACCTGGTTCCGAAGGATAGAGGGCGGATGATTAGTCCCGATATCTCTAAGGAACCATTCGAGATGAGATGTGAAAAACAAATATATATGAATCTAATTTAGGTCTAAGTAGTTTTGTATTAAGTGTTTGTACTTGGTGTTTAAGTAATGACCAAAGGTCTTACAGTCTCCCCTCCATTAAAAGAATCGAGCATGCCTTGTGAGTAAACCAAAGAAACAGAGAGAAAATTGAAAAAAAAGTAAAGCGCTGCTAATGTTGAAAAGTAAAAGAACAAAGAAAGAAAAAAAAGAACTGAAAAGAAATTAAAATTAACATTGAAAGCCAACCATGTAGCTGCAAAGGAAAAAGAAAAGGAGAAAAAAAGGAAACAGAGAAAAAAGAAAAGAAAGGAAAAAAAGGAACTTGAGGTGAAAAGTTGTTGATCGTGGTCAATGGTCGTTGAATTCTATGCTTGCCCGCGTAATCCTAAGACGTCGTCGCCACCTAGGGAATGAAGTCGAAATGTATGTGCTCACAAAGTGGCCTAGGTATTGTTTTCTTGACAATTTTCGTAGTATACTACGGCGGTGCATACAAGGGAGAGGAACTTACTTCCGTACCCTTTCAACTAACGTGTTGACCCCGTCGCCATTGCGTTCTACATACGCCTTGACCTTCGAAATGTGAAAGACGTTGTGCCGTCGATCCCCCTCTGGCAATTCCAACTCCACATTTTGACCATGGTTCGTTGATTTGACTACCCGATAAGGCCCTTCGTAGCGCTCTTTCAATTTATTGACGCCTCCTTGATGTCTCCCCCGCCAGTCGGCTGAGTCTAGAAGCGCCCAGGAATCCGGTTGAAGCGGTTCTGCCGAGCGACAATGCTTGTTGTGCTGCAACGCCTGCTGTATTCGGCTAGTCCACAACGCGTCACGTGCCGTTGACCACGCGTCGTGTCTCATACTGAACCACTTGGTGAGAGCCGTCGGGTCTGATTCTTCAGCATCTTGGGTCGAAAGTAATCGTTGTTGACGACCGAAGATCAGCTCAAAAGGAGATTTGCCCGTCGCAATATTAAGCGCGCCGTTGATGGCGTACTCTACCGCCGCCAAGGACTCTAGCCACTTGCCTTGTCGTTTGGCGGTGAAAGTCCTCAAAATTTGACCAACTGTACGATTCGTGCGTTCGCTTCGGCCATCTGCTTGCGGATGAAAAGCTGTGACATGTGAAAAT